TCGTCAGCCCAACGAGCTTCTGACTACCAAATGGACTAGATGGGTTGGATGCGCTCCTCTCGTCTGTAACTGTTCTTATGTTCTAAGCTGAAGACTATATTCGTTGACGGTCTTGAACTTGTCTTCCATATTCACGGCAGTTGACGTGGAGTCAAACCATTCTGAATGCGAGGGAAAAAAAAATCTCAGCTTCTGGAATAAGATTTCTCCAGCCAAACCTCTTAAATCGGCTTGATGCTCCCTGAACTGTTCTGGGCTGACCCTCTTCTGCCTTGACTGCTGCAAAAGGCTGACAGTGAAGCAGCTGTGGCCAAGCGGACACAAGCTGGCGATATCGAGATGGCCAAAGCCCAAGAGAAAAGGTACACCTGCCCAAGAGGATAGTTTTCTGGCCCCCTTTCAGATCGACGCATTTCCCTGGTTTTCTGCTGAACTACAGTCTGAAGATGTCAGCAGTTAATTACAGGGAATAAAAATAGAGCAGGGAAGGAAGAGAGAACACCAGGCCTCTTGCCTTGCAGATTTACAGCGAGAAGCAAGGAGCGAGGAATGGGCGGCTGGAGCTATACAATTGTATCCAGCGACTCGCGCATAAATCTACGCTCGTACCGTCCTGCTTTGACAACGGGAAGAAAGCGGAGCGAATCCACGGTCCAACACTTGGCGCACAAGGTCATAAATTGGCTGGCTCGGACCTCGCGGGGAAGCGCACGCCGATGTCAATGACCGCAGCGGAGACGTCGAGGTGGCCCCTCGGGACCCAGCCCTGGAAGGTCCCGTGAACTGGATCGCCAGCACACATGTCCTTTCGCCTCCTGTCCCGGCTCACTTCAGCCCCGAGAGGAAGCGGGAAGCCGTTTTGGACATGTGGTGCTGGTCGGGTATGACCCAAGAACCAGCACGCTGTGTGAACGAGCTTCTCTCCTTGGTGGCCAGACCCTGGCGTGTTGTCTACACAAAATGCATTGGTGCACGAGTGCCAGTTGCTTCTTGGCACTGGAGAAAACTAACATTCTGCATGTACCCGATGTCAATTTTTCAGTGCCGTTTGCACCTTGAAGAGAGAGAGTTGGCATACTTTCTTTTGGCAGTAAACATGATGTTGAGATTTGTGGCTCAAGGGATAGGGATTACCATCGCTTACGTTTCCTGGGATTCAAGGAAGAAAACGAAGGTGAACTGAAATTAGACACAAGCCACTTAAAAAGAGCGAGAAACCCTGCAGAGCAATCCACAAGTGAGTCAAAGCTACTGTACTGTTCTCCTACTTAAAACAGAGAATGAAAACTGTTCCCAAAACTAAGACTGAGCATAACGGGCTAAAAACAGCAGTAACGGTACATACTTGTCATTTTTCTTCACCAAGACTAGACTTCTAGTAAAACACATTTACTTTGAGAGATGCCTAGGAATGTGTGGCGGAGAAAACAGAGTTAAAGCCACCAAAATAAGCACAGCCTTCTGCAGCTGAACTTTGACCTGAAAAACTTTGGCATTGCGCAAGAGCTGATGTCTACACACTCAAACGCCACTTCACAATAACAGCACTTGGTGTGCCAGAGGAAAGATATTACTGATCCTGAAGGGGGGGGGGGGTTGGGGATCAGGTTCTTGTACTCTCACCCCCTTTTTTATTTTTCCTCTCATTGTCAAGGATGTGGGAAACCTCTTGAAAAAGACCAATCCCAGGGAACTGTGTGCACGCTCCCTTGGCTTTTCCGGGATTATTGTCCGTTCACTCCACTAGGCAGGGATTTCGGCTAAACAAAGCAAGAAAAGGCACGAAGCACAGTGCCAATTCCATTGTTCAAAATGATTAGAATCAGGCCATGTGAACGATACACATTTCAGTAATCACTAATACCCCCCACCACAAGCATTAAAATAAATATGACTGTGGATTTTTAGTCTCCTTAAATACATCACAGCCAAAGGTCATTCCAAGGTTGTTCCCTACGTATTTAGAAGAAATCTCCTGTTTCTGTGAGGGGTTCTTCCACATTTTTACAACAGTTCTCATGCAGCTTCCACAGCCACCTGGCAGCCATCACAGCAGGAGAAAGCCCAATTCTTATCAGACCGGTCCGTTTTCTTCTTCTCGCTCAAACTCCACGAGAGGAAGGGGACTCGGATTCATCTTCTTCACCCTTCGGCTCGCGTCACGGCTCATCCTGCCACGGTTTTAGAAGGCTGGTTCGTGAGGTCACGTAACAGCTCGTCGGTTGAGAGCCGTGGAGTGCTCTCCATTTCCCTGCAAACCACAGAGCCACCACCTCTCGCAGAGCAGTAACTAACACGGTGACAGGGCTGCCAACACCGAGTCCCAGTGGTGAAAGCCACAACAGCAAGGGGCCATCAAACCAAATGGGAAAGACACTTTGGGATTAAACTTGAACATTCGGTCCTGGTGCGTAGGGTTTTGGTCGTCAACGGGTGATAAATCGGAATAAAAGTAACAGCTCAACATTCAAGCTTTAGAGTTACTTAAAAGCTTGCAGGTGAAAGTCAAAGAGAGACATATATCCACTTCAGTAAGTCCCAGACATTATGCATTATTCTGTCCTTTTCACTCAGTTTTACTTCTTAACTCAGGAACGATGTTTTGGGGATTGCCAAATGAAATTTAAGCAATTTGTTTTTTAAGAAGAGAGTTAAATCTAGATGGATCTCAATTTTACAATACAAAAGAAGCAACCTTTTAGCTTAAAGGATGTGTAGAAAGGGACAAATATTAATGATGGGGATCATCTATTTAAAATGAGATGTCATCCACTCCAACACTTCACACTAATAGGTTTTAATGAAAACGTCACAAAGAAGTGTACATAATTTTTTAAAATGAAGACTTTGCAGCATTTATTGAGATAGTACAGTTCTTGTTCAAGAGCTGGCATAATTTTGGAGCATTTCATTTATTGGCTTACCTTCCTGGAAAAAAACTGAAGTATGCCCAGTTGGTCCAATATATTCTTATTTACCATTTCTGATGTCCAAAGAGACACTTCCCTGCACGCGTGTTCCTATCCTAAGAAGTGCCTGGAGACTGTGCTGGAAATCCTACCCCTCACACACGTCCTAATAGTTTATAAAAGGTATTTGCCCACCACTTCAAACCTTGTAACCAAGAATATTACACTAGCGCACACCCAACTAAGAATTTTCCACTTCCATATAATCAACCAGAAATGCCACAAAGGCTCAAGTCTCATAAAACCCAACAGAACTACAGCTTTGTATCACAGTTTAGTAAACCAGACAGATCTACAACATTGTGTTACCTGGAAATCAGCCTGACGCAACCCAAGCCTCAGCAACACTGCAGCCGACTACAAACAATACAGATGTTGCCATTTTCTTCTTTTTCCACTTTGATCATTGAAAAGATGTCCTGAAAAACGAAGGACTCGAAAACCAAAACAAAACAAATCCCTTCGGACAATCCCGCTCCGCAGGTTTAGTGATGTTTTCCTAATTGTCCAGCACTTAGTGGTCTCTCCGGCCTCGAGGCTCTTGAAGAAACTAAATTACAGGACTCGTCTTCCCTAACTCTGCTATTTCCAGAGCGCTGCGAAACCAAAAACAAACACCAGAGACAATCTCAGAAAGCATTTCATCTGGGAGCTAACCTGCAGCCAAATGCAATAACGAGCTCAACATGCGGTTATTTGTCTTCGTTCTGCAAGCTAGTAATTTGGAGGAATCACGGCGGTACAGTGCTTTTGTGGTCGGTCCAAAAACCCACAAAAACTCCAACAAACATTTACTTCAAAATAAATCAGCGTGCTTATGCATGCACATCTGTGTTCAGACATTTATATATACATCCTAACACATGCAGCGCAGTGGAAGCGCTGCGACCATAAGTCCAGAAGAGGCGTAATAAACACTTAACTCAACTGTGCTTCTAAATTCACTGAACACTCACTCCTTCCAGCAAGTAGTAAAGATTTTCAACTAAATTTAGACTCGAGGAGGCCGTTTTTTTTCACGTCTGCAAATAACTTTAGGTGGTCTTGCAACGTGATTTGAAGTAAAAGGGGAGGGGGGGCACGTTCCCTCCGCGGAGAGTTTCCCCCTTCAGTAGCCTCTTCTCGAGCGGAGCACTGGCATAGCCTCCTCCCTCCCCTGGCTGGGAAACATTTCATCACATTCTGCCGCGAGAGCGCCAGCTCGGACACACCACTTGACTGAGCTAGTGCTAATCACATGACGCGCCGCGGGGGGGGGTCGTACCTGCCTCCTGCCCTTCTGTGACCGAAGGACAGCACACGGCCAGGCCACTGCCTGCTGCCCTGCTCTGCCCCCCGCCTCCCTGCACAGCCCTGCCCCTCAACTCGCTGAAGGGGATCAGAGACGCATTCGCAACACACAACCTAACGCTCGGAAACTGAAGCAGGTGTGTATCAACACGGACGGCCTGGTGAAGCGGGGGTTAGCATTCTGCCTCGCAGCGCTGGGGGGCCCCGGGTTCAATTCCTAGGGTGCTGTCCGCATGGAGTTCGTATGTTCTCTCCACGGTTCCTCCAGGTGCTCTGGAGGTGGTGTTCAGAGAGGTGAACCGAACTAGACCGCGCGTCCTGGGAAAGTGCAAGGGGAGTGGAAACCCTGGTGACAACCCACACGACCAAAGAGGAGCGTGTAAACTCCACACAGAAGGCACCAGAGCCCAGAGTGGATCCCAAGCTCCAAGAGCGTGGGAGCAGCAGGGCTGGCTGCTACCCAACTACGGCCCCTGTATATTAAATACAGCCAGAGAGTGGCTTCATCTAAGAGAAAGGATGCTGGGAGTGACTATGCCAGCAAAAAAGCATTGGCACTCTCTGTGTATAGATTTCAATCTAATCATAAGGTCTCTTTTTTCACCAACAGCGCAATGCTGTCTAGGCTCTGACCCTCAAAATCCCATCTGCCCATTATATAGTGCAGGGGGGGCCTTAAAGTAAATAAAACAAACACATCTGGGTGGGGGGCACCGAAAACAAGAAAGCAGGTCAACTCACTTCTCTGGCAGTGGTCCTGCGTCCAGCAGCGTTCGCTGAAGTGCCCGTTGAAGATGGTCTGCGGGCAGCTGGTCTTCCCCTTGGCGGTGCCCGGGCACACGTCCCCGCACTCGCGGTCATCTTTGTTGGAGACGATGTAGTTGTCCTCCACGGAGTCGAGGATCTTGGACCAGTCGAGGGTGGACAGGTAGCAAAGGTCTGGGTTCTTCTCGATGCGCACGGCGCCCCTGGTGATGTTCATCAGGCTGTGCAGGCCGATCTCCTTCAGCTGCAGCATCTCGAAGAGCACCAGGGCGTAGTTGAAGAAGAGGTTGGTGCCGCGGACCACGGTGAGGTTGGGGAAGAGATCCCGCAGGCTCTCCAGGCCGTAGACGCGGAACAGCAGCAGGTAATCCGTGATCATGGTGAGCTTGGGGAAGCGAAGGCCCCGGAAGTCCTCCGGCTTGGTCTTGAACATGAGCAGGATCTTCAGGTGGCCCTCGATCACCGTGCAGTTCTCGATGGCGTGCAGGTGGGTGATGTTGTTGCGGATGTCCATGCTCTTGCAAACTGCGCAGGAAAAAAAAGGAGCCAAATCATGTTAAAATCTGTTGCCTTTACAGGGCTGGACAGGCTTCAATTATTTTAGATGAAAACATCAAACAGTCCTAAAAGCATTCCAAGTTGTATAAATCTTACCCCGCCACTCCCCTCCAAAGCTCTCTCCATTTTCAACTTTGAGAAAACCCATGAAGCATTTTGTAAAATATGAGGTCAGAGTTAAAAAAGCCATACATGGACCTATGCACACAAGCTTGTGTGTCAGTACTCAAACAATACATCGAGCATACTCTAGGATTCTCTTATGGGTACATCACTGTTAGAAAAGAGATACTTGGCTGATAACACCTGACTCCAGGAGGCATTCTAGCAAAAACATTTTGCGTAAAGAAATACGTCATTCCTCCACGCCGTTGCCCAAGCAAGCAATCAACTGTAATGATCCCTGACCGAACAAGAGCCTCTCTGCGTGCTCGAGGGAAGAGTTTATACTGGACACAAACCAGCCAGGCTTAGCTACAGCCAATGGATCACCAATAAACAGCAGTGGTGACTCGGGTTTTGTTTAAGAAATATATTATCCGTTTTGCAATTGGTTCTTTATTTTGATTGGAACCCAAGAGAAATAGGTTAACGATTTATAAAAGAAAAACTACAGGCCCCGCTACTTCATTTGACTTTTCTGTCAGTAAGAAATTAGACGGCACATGTAGGTCAAGCAATGTAATAAAGGCCAGAGTAAAATCACAGGCGCCGACAGGCTGATCCTGCAGGTAACAGAACAGACACTAGACCTTGAGACTGTTCATTCTAACACGGCAGGGCTGTGCTGTTTACAGCAATTCTGTGCTTATGGTAAAGGCCGCTTTCCCCTAATAAGTGAATTATTCTGTGATGCCTGCAGGCGGGAGCCGACAGGTCAGTGTGGTCTCTAAGGAAACAGCCATCACTGCACGGAGACAACCCCACCAGCCAAAGCTCTACCTGTGCTGCTGCAGTCTCGGAGCTCTCAGCCTGTCAGACAGCATCTCCCTGGGTGAGCAGTCCCCCCACCACCCCACGCAGTGCCTTCTGCTTTTTTGAGCCATTTACAAAAACCTTAATTGTGAACTACTAATTTACTTAATTGAAAAAAAAACCTTTACTCTTTGATGGCTAGAAACAAAGTCACTTATAACTCAATAAGCCATCTTCAAATTCACAGCCTTTTCAGGTGCTACAATGGGGCCTAATTAAGCCAGCTAAAAGCCCATTGAAGGGCTTAATACAAGGAAAGATCATCTTGAAAAACAAGTCAGGTTGGGGCAGCCCTATTCTAACCCTATCAATCGCTCACTAAAACCGCCAACACGTTAGGACTTTCAGATATGATTTCGGTCTCATAGTGAAACAAATCAAGCCTTATGAAAGAAGAGTCAAATTCCCCAGGTGCATTCTTCTGCCAGCACTAACACAACACTGAGCCGACTCCAAGTTGCAACGTAGTGCAACTACAGCAAGCAATGATCCTGAATTTCTGAATCTGCACAAACAACACCTCCAACCTCCTGCAGGGACACAGCTTGACCCAACGGCACTTTCAACTACAACTAACTCCTTATTTTATTTGGCTGCCGTTTTGATCCAACGCAATTTCATTTGCAACCAAATCTGTTTCATCTAGATTTTTTTATGGAGTCATTTGGGTGAAGCACCTTGCTCAAGGGGACAACGGCAGTATCAGACCCAGGGGGTTCGAACCCACAACATTCTGGTCTCAAGTCCAGAACCTCACTGGCCGCACCACACCGCTGCCCACTTGCTGGGGCACACCTTACCTGGGTCAAGGAATCAATTCGGCTGCGGACTGAGCCTGTAAGCAGGACGTAAAGCCACTTAGACAGGAAAGAAAATGTTTGTCTGTCGCTGCCTTTGGCAGATGGGATGTTTGTGCAACAACCAAAGATCTGCCTGTCATCCGCCTTCACGTACTGTATGCGGTCATCGGTAACTAGGTTTGCTCTGTTTAAACTAGAGCAGGAGCGGCGTAGATCAACGGCTGCAGATCAAACAGTGGAGATGATGTCGCAAGCCGACTATGGCGGTGTTACGATATTGCTCACAATTACGAGGCCTTGGATTACAAAAACAAATATACGGTTACATCAAGCCCCTTAAGACTTATTCGGGTAAACAACATAAAAGAGCAACACTGCTCCATGGCAACAAGCCGTGGCAAGTGTGAACAGACAAGAGATTGCTCCAGGACAGGGGGGGGCGCACGCACAACAGGGAACAGGTCTGACTTTTCAGATCAACGGCGTCGACAGGAAAGGACGCCAATCTAGATATTTAAACAAATATCCACCCCCAGCTGCCAAAGCGCATTGGATTTGCAAGAACAAATTATTCAGACTATTTTCCGGGTGAGGGTTAAAATGACACTGAGTGAAGCGATTAATCAATGCAAATTCTTCTGGCTGCTCTTTAGGTTTAACTGTTGATCAGCACTTTTTTGCAGAATTAACTAAACGACGAGGCTTTGCCAGTTGAGAGAGGCAGGAAAGTGAATCTTCCTACACTACCCTGTGGTCACCTCTTACAGATTGATCCTTGCCATGTGCAGTGTTCATTTGACTTCAATGATCCTGAATATCTGGGCTTCCAATTCACAGAACAAAACAAAAAAACACTAGCTGTATCACTTTTTGCTCCTCCCATGAAAACTCAAACCAATCTAACACTTCCTGCAGGTGTAAAGTTCACGGTCACGGTAGCATAATTTCATACGTGTGTTTTTACAACTAGACACCAGACAAAAACACAGGAAATAAAATGCAGCATATAGTACAAAGTCGGCAGAAACCAAACATTTGATTAAATGGGCTAGCAAGGCTCAGCTGTTACCATAGACACAGTCTGGAAGGAGGAAAAAAAGCTGTCTTTTCTTCTCGAGCAAATCTATTCGGCTGGTGTGAGGTGCTGACTCCCTTCACAAGGGACAGTCTGCTTTAAAACAGCTAAATCACACATGCCAACCCACAGCAAGAAATCTGAGTGTGTGTGCTCCCGAAATACACAAACTATCGTAGTGAAACCAAGTAAGTTAGATACTTTAAAACAGTACTGTTTCTTTTGCACATTGCATAGAAAAAAAATCCAGTCTCCATTCCAGCTCCAACTTGGATCAAAACTCTGAACCTCTTTAGCCACAAGCCGAACAGACTGTTAGGGGACATATCGGAGAATTCGAAACCCTCAAAGGTATTGACAACATCAAACCAACAGGCAAGTCCTGGATCAACGGGGAAACACAAACCAGATGACAAGTGGAAATGGCAGGGATGTGCTTTGAAAACTGAGAAGGAGCCGCTTCTGTACACGAAGGGTTGTAGGGATCTGGAACAAGCTGCCCATTCCTGTGGATGAAGCCGATACCCTGGCTATTACATATTAATAATGCATATGATTAAAGCATCAATGCTACATTCTGATTAATGCATATATTTGAGTTATTTTAAACTAGCTAAATTATTTAGGGTAGGAAAAGTTCTTGAAAATGAAAAACAAAACTACAATGTGGTGACAGTTACATTCGTCAGCTTACATATTAATATTCCAGCAAAGAACATCTATGTTCAGCCAACATCTAACCCTGCCACACATGGTTCATATTGCATTGCTACAGAACTGCACATTGTGTTTGAGGAGCCCAGGTAGAACAGGATCTATCAGCTGGCTTTAGAGCTAGAGGCACACTTCAGAGGAATACCCACTCTGGGCATGCACAATCTGCCTTATATGAAATCACCCCCCTCCAGCCCCTAACCACTTAATTCAAGCCCTACAATCAAGAGATTCCTTAATTCCTGGATCTGCCTTTTCAGTCGTATTCTGAGAAATGACATCTGAAACCAGTCAGAGCTGCGGGTCACCGACAGGGACTGCTTGAAAGGGGGAACTGCTGCCAGTATAAAGGGAGACCACCTGAGGCAAGAGTCACCCATCCTGTGGAGCTGGCCTATGGAGGACCTCCCTAGACAGCTCTGTCATTGCTCTGTGCTCTCTGGCACCGAGCCCCACCATCTACACTCACTGGCCGAGCAGCAGCCTATCATGTTCAATGATTCAGAAGAGGACTTGGCTTGAAGTTCAGAGAGCGCTGGCTTATTACCTGACCTCCAGATTTATGCAAATTGCAGCCAAGAAGCTACACTAGAAGGGGTCATATGCCCCCCCATCCTATTTTCTCTCGGGTCCCCAACTTCCCAGCCTGCCCCCCCACTCCCCCACAGACACAAGAGCTGACGCTCCAAGCCTCTGCATCGCGCGCTGCATTGAGACGCCCTGGGGGACCGAGTCAAACAGGCTGCACTCACCAGCCAAGGAGAAGTGCTACTCAGAGTATTAAGCCTCTAAAAACAGCACCGAGAGCCAAGAATAGCTCATAAAAGACAATGAAACCAAAACTGAAGCTTGTTTTTGCTCAGCAGATAGCTAACGCTGGCCTGAATTTAGGGGCCTGTCGCTGCAATCTGGTTAAGTGTTAGAAGCAAAACTTCTCCCAGATAATGTAAGAAACACACCTTGCCATGGAATCACCAACGGTTAGATAAAAAAAGCCACCCCAAGCCACATAATGGATAGAAACTCCACACCTGCTGCCCTTTGTACAGCTGTGTTTAATTAATCAAAAACAAAAGCCTCCTCTATTCCAAAACATTGATTTCAGAGCCGAACTTACACCACACATGCAACGTGGGCTGAGCGACTGAGCTTTGCTTTGTGAATCCTGAAGTGTTTTCTAATCAAAGCAAATTCCTTCCAGAATCTGGCAGGTCTGGCAGGGGAATTACATTACCCAGGTCAAGAGGAAAAAACTAAAGGGTCAGAGCACTGCATTTAACTCCAGCTTTTGCACGGTCTCACAGAAGAGATTCCATAGAAAACGGGAGGGTTGTCTCTCAGGCTGGGAAAATGGAATTTAAGAACGTGCTTGGCGGCCTTGCTCCAAACCTGCCCTGACTTCC